TTCCCTGCCTGTCTGCTAGGGTGACAGAGGCACTTCACCAGGGCTTATTTTCTAGGCAGCTCTCCCCTACCTCTTTGCTCTGCTCCTCCCCCACCCTCACTCAGCCTCTCCGTTTCCACCAACTTGTTTTTACATAATGCCAGCCTAACTTTGCAGGGATGAAGGCCTGCCTCCGCTTGCCTGGGCAAGCTGCCTAAAAGCCTGGAGTGGCTGCAAGCTGCAGGAAACATTGCACCCGGTCCGGCACGGATGTTTGCAGTCTAGTTAAAAAAACACGGAGCTTGCATTATGCTAATCCCCCAGTTTTGGCTAACGAGGGACCTCCGCTGGCCAGGCAGGACCTATAGCAGCATGGAGAATGACATCATTTGGAAAAAGGGCTGCTGCGCCAGAGATTGTGCAACATCCCTCCCCTCTCATAGGGGGAGGCTGCTCTGTTTCGGCGTGCACCGGCACTGCTTTATAAATTGGAATAGTTTTAACTACCACAGAAGTTGTACCTCGAGGGAGTGCAGGATGAGGAGACAAGTGTGACCCCCTTCTCTGGCAGGCTGCAATAGGGATATGCCATAAATCTTGCGATTTTTTTTGTTAAGCAACGTCACCTAGACATTAGTTTCCTCTTAACACACGCATTTTTTTTAGTTCTTCTAATTTGGCTTTTACAAATAATGGGAAGAAATGCCAGTACCAAGAAAGTATAAGTGGTGTGATGCTGCTTGCAGGCACACCCACGTGCTGCTTTGTGAGCAGCACGAGGAGCTGCGGAGAAATAAAATGCGAGATGACTGGGCTGCTTTGTGAAACCTTCCAGCTCAGTACTGCCAAAATGCCATCAGGTGCCCCGCACTCTGAAACCAGCATACGAGTCTCAGCATCGCCATTCTGCCTATTCCTTCCCTTATGGGCACAGTTACAATAAATGGCAGCTAAGCACAGACGTCTCCCTGGCATACTGTCAGGCAGCCTTGCTGGAGGAAATTTTTTTTCCACCCTGCAAGCTGCCAAGGTGGACTCCTTACCTCCTGCGAAAGACTGAATGAGACTGCAGTTCCCCCATCAGTTTCATAATACTCAGAAAGCATCCATTTACATCATTGTGTGCAGTGCAGGGCAGCAGCTGCCAGGAAATTTGAAACTATTTTGATTCCAGTTGACTAGAACAGCAGCAATTGAATTAGCCGGTATCGCTATAGATAAACTGATGATCTGTGCATTTTATTTCTTTGACCAATGGGTAACTGCTGGAGCTACAGTAACCTCTGTGAGTAAGGAGACTGTTCAAGCAAATATATCTAATTTCTCGAGCTAGCTAGTGTGTGTATATATATATGTATAGTATGGAGAGAGACACTCACACCATTCTTTTGTAAAATGTACCTGTAAACAAAATGTCTGTCTATGCTTGTAACTTGTGTTTTGCTTCCTAGAATTTCCTTTTATTATGCTGTAGACAAGCTTGCTTGACATGGAATAGTTATTTACCTATGAAATATCATATCTATGCCTGATATAAGTAATGAATTCTTTCACCATCTAGTCATCAGAAACGTTGCCAACTGCTGTTAGGTTGTATTTGCCCATTCTCAGTTTTCTAGCCACTCACCCCCTTTCTATTTTAGCTTTTTCTCTCTCCGTTTAATTAAATTTTCTTTTTTGCTTTGTTGAAAGAAGCCACCTTCAATGCAAAGTAGAAATTGGTGTTACCTGTGACTGTGTGTCCTTTCTTTGTTTGTTTGGTGATGGGTATTTTTTTTTCCCTGCTCGTCTTCAGTGCGGTCCTTAAATTTTGTTGTTGCCTTTCTAGGCTTGTTTGTAATGCAGTCATATTGGGGGATGGGGTTGGACAGGATATGCCAGTAGCTGCAGCAAGACATGATGCTGTGGTGGTACATGGGAATAAGGGAGGAGTTTCCCTTAAAGAGCTCAGGTTCCTCTGAGCTCTGGTACCTGAAATAGCTCTTTGAGCAAAGGGAAATGTTTTGCATCTTTTAGGAGTGGGGGGCAATTGGTGGTGGTTTACCGCAAGCAGTGGAAACCTCAGCAGTCATGTGTGTGGTGGTACCTAATGTGTTAGGGACAGACTGCTGCTTTGGTGCCATACATGATTTTTTTTTTTTTTAATCAGGCAGTGATTTAGGCAATGTTCCTGCAGGATGCTGTGAAGGCAAGAATCCTGCTGACTTGTGCTTACAAACGGCAGCAGCAGTCCTTCCAGAGCAGGGCTGCTGGCGCCTCACTTTAGAAAAGGGCCTTAAATTTCTCTGTATGAAAATGCTCCTTTCTTGCCCAGGTGAAACACAGTTTACAAACGTGGCAGAAAGGAGTACCTGTGTGCACATGCCCTCCTCCTGTGTGTGTCTCTGTGCCCATATATGCGTGTATGTGCTCTGTATTTGTACCTCCTCTGGAGTCTGCTGGGCTTGATAGGTGGTGAAGTTTGCTTAGGATGAAGTTCAGCAGAAGTAAATCAGAAACTTGCTCGGGATTGCTTACAGCTGTCAGCAGTGGACATCGGTGGCAGATGAGGACATGCAGCAGTGCATTTAGCATTCACTGCCAGAAATAAGGCCGCCTCTGTTTCCCTCATGTCGGTGCAGAAGATAAGATAGCAATTAGCAGAGAAGAGCCTGGCCCCTTGGCAGGGTCTGTGTGCGGTGCCTTGTCAGGGCTTGGCCTCCAGTACATGTTGGCTGCATCCCAGCTGGGGGGGGGGG